GGCCAGACGGACTCCGGGGCCCTGTGGGCCAGTGGGGGCACCGGCCGCCAGGCGCGCCCTCCCGAAAGCGGGTGTGCGCGGGGCCGCGGCCGAGGCACGATGCTGGGGAGACTGAGTCGAAGGCGGGGAGGGTCCGGCGCCCCTGGAAGGGAAGGCCGCGCTTTACCAAGGTGCGGGGGCCGGTGTACCCCAGCACCAGGGCCTGCTGCAGGCGCGTCACCGAGGGGCGTGAGCCCAGGGCCGGTCAGGCCCCGTTCTGGGGGCCCCTCCTTCGAGGGCCCCCCTGCATCGGCTCACCCTACGCACGTGACCTCAGCGTCCCCCACTGTACCCGCTGGGCCTTGCTGTTCCCCACTCGGCTGTGAGGCAGCCCAGGGCCTTTGCAGGGTACCCCCGCCCGGGCATCCCCCCTGGCAGGCTGTTCCGGCCTCCGCCTCAGAGCCAGCCCCAGGCTGGAGGCGGCCTGGCCTGCCTTCCTGTCCAGGGTGCTGTGGGATGTGCAGGGCACTGCGTGGACACGCCACTGCCCCCCCGTTGGCGGTGGCAGACCAGAATGAGCCAGCACCCCCAGGCGCCCGCTGGCTTAAGAGGCACCAGGGCCTGCCTCTTAACACCCCAGCTGGGCGCACCCCTCTGCATCACCCACCGGGACACCGGAGGGGGCAGCGGCCACCTGCCAGGACAGCTGCATCGGTTTCGAGACGCCGCCCGGTCGGGGCTCAGCGGCCTGACCTCAGCGGCCCAAGGCATGGGGACCAGGCCAGAGCCACCGCTGTCTTTCCTAGGCCCCTGCTGGCCCGGAGGCGTGGGGGGGCACGTGGCTGGGCTGTGGAGCCGCGCCTGAGGGTGTCCAGGGAGCTCCCCTGCTGCCCCTGGCGCTGCTGCCCCTGGCTGCCGAGAGCGTGGCCTGGTCCTGCGTGGTCTGCAGCCTCCAGGAGGCCCTGGCTGAGCAGCGGGGCAGAGACAGGAGGGTGGAGAGGGCGAGCGTGCTTCCTCCGGCGTGGTCCGGCCACCGGCCTCCAGACTCCGTGCTGGGGCCTGTGGGCCAAGGACAGGCCAGCCCCAGGGGCCGCTGCTCTGCCTCCCGCCAATGCACAAAGGGAGCAGCAAGTGGGGAGGTCACCCCCCCACAGTGGCCTCTCCCTTCCCGCCCCCACCGTGGCCGAGTCCCTAATCTGCGAGGCCTGTGCAGAAGCCTGGGACATCGGGCAGCTGTTCCTGCAGCCTCTTCAGTGAGGGAAAGTGAGAAGACCCCTGGCTGGGCTGGGCTGGGCTGGGCGGTGGACTCACCCCTCCCTGGCTGCCACCTGGGAGTAACCACACTCTTGCTGGCCCCCCACGGGCCTCCTAGAAGTAGGCTGCGGTGCATGGGGAGGCCGGGCGGGGCAGAGGACACTCTCGGGGCAGCTGTCCTTGGAGTTCAGGCCGTGCAGGCCCTCACTTGCTGCCACTGACCAGGCCACCGGTGGCCTTGCTGACAAGGCCACGAGCCGGGCCTGGCCTCTGCTGGACACGGGTGGTCTCGGGCTCTGCAAGATGTGTCTCCAGGCATCCTGACAGGTGTGTGGGCACCCCCTCCCCCCCGGCCACCAGGGTCCTGGAGCCGGCCTGGGCTGCTGCCCGCTTGCTGGGGGTCACTGCCCAAGCCCACAGGATGAGGTTGCTGCTGCTCTGAGTTTTGGACCCAGGAGACTACTCTCAAGTGAACTGTGATGCTGTTTTGGGGAGCCTGGGGCTGGCAAGAAACCCCGAAAAGCCTCCCCACTTACCTTCCTGCTGAGTGCTCAGGGCATTGCCTGCCCCGTCAGACCTGGTGCCGGGGCAGGGTGGGGATCAGCCACGCCCCACAAGTGGCTGGACTTCAGGAGAGGCCAGAGGCCAAGCTGCTCCTGACTTCTGCGGTGACTCCGCCCGCATTGGGGTGAAGAGCGCGACAGGGCGGGGGTGCTGTGACCTCAGGCCCCGCACGACCCCCGGCGCCCCCCGCTCTGCAGCCGCTTCCGGGGCCACACTCCCGGGCTGTCTGCACGTGGCCAGCCTCGGTCTGCTCAGTCCGCTCTCGGTCCAGCTCTGCGGCCTCCCCGGTGGCTCAAAATAAGCCCTCTGGGGTGCAGGCTTCGGGGCGAAGGACGAGTAATTCCTTTCTGGGGGAACAGGCACGGCTAGAGCCCACCCAAAGGCTTGGTGTGTGGGGAAGGCCCCGGGGCACCCCGCTCCGAAACGGCAGCCGACTGCAGTCCCATCAGCGGACAAGGGGGAAGCTGAGCCCCGAAGTCACGTCCACGGGGCAGTCGGCGCCCGGCACAGGGTTGGCCCCGCTGCGGCAGCCTGAGGCCCGGCCAGGCGGCCGGGAGCCCAACGCTCCCGCACAGTGTGGACGTCCGGGGATTTCTCTTGCGTGCTTTTTGAGTTTGGGGTACCCTGGGCACCTCCTGCTCTCTGGCTTCCCGTGGGGGTGCAGCCTGGGGGAGGGCTCCAGGGCCAGAAGGCCCGCCTGGGGTTCCTCCGGCCCCTGGAGCTGTCTGAGCGGAGGTCAGAGCACACCCAGGCCCAGCGGCGACTCCCCGGCTGGGACTTTGAGCCCGGCGTCAGGTGTCCGTGCCCTTGGGGCGCGGCATAGTGGGGTCTGGGGAGTGAGCTCAGTCACAGCTTGACCAGTGACTCAACCAACCCCGTCCCCTGGGTACCCCCTGGGGCGCGTCCGGAGGCCAGACGCCCAGGAGAGCCTGCGGTCACCTCACAGCCCCCAGGCCCGTCCCGGGCACCCTAGGCGGTGGCCAGGTCTGGGCCCCCCAGCCTATGCGCATGGGTGTGTGGGGGGGTGTCAGGCCTGCTTGGGAGCCAGCTGTCAGCTCGCGTGACCCCAGAGCCCGGCGCAGCACCCCGGGCCGGGCAGCCTGGCCCTGCCGCCCGCCCGCCCTCCCCCGGCAGCCCGTGTGAAAACAGCCGCTCAGTGTGCGTGCCGTGTAGAGCTCACACACGCACGCACACACGGCAGCAACAGGCCACCGAGTGCAGGGCCCCGGCAGGCCCCGGGCGTGCGGGCCGAGCCGCCACGCCACGCTTCGCTAGCTGTGCCCGAGTCCGCCCTGGGAACCCGCATAAACAGGGCGTCACCGTCTTCTGCAGCAGGCCCCGTCACGCCGGATGCCACGGGGGTCACGAGCCCCAGAGTGCCCCGATGGGCCCATGGCCGGGCTGTCGGCAGGCTGAGGGGAGCCAAGCGCCCCCCACCCCACCTGCGCTGGCTCCAGGGCAACACGCCCACGCCGGGACGTGCACCTGCTTCGGGTCACCACTCTGGGCGCCCGGGGGCGACGCCCGCTGCCCCGGCACAGGCACCTTGTCCACACAAACGCCCGTGTCCGCCCCAGTCGAGGCTGCCCCGTGGTCAGTCGGCCAATGCCTGGCCTCAGCTAGGCGCCGCTCCCACAGCCAGCGTGGGCAGGGCAGGCGGCGTGCGGGCCAGCGGGGC